TCAACGAGTTGGAAGTTTTTCTTGCTCAAGTAGTTCAGCACTTATGGAACTTACCGATAACCCCATTTGTGCGCTGTAACGAGGCCATCATTTGCTTCCACAGGTCGCATTTATCAATGGGTTGCTGTTTTGATGGAGTTGTCTGCACGTCGTACTTGAACAGAAGACCATCTGGCCAAGAGCTGTAATCAAGCAGTTTTTGAGAAGGCCATGAGTACCGTAATTCTGAAGCCCTCACCTGTTGACTGTCTTCGGATGAGTGATGTACTCGACCTTTGTGTTGACGTATCGAGGGGCATAGATTGTCCCACCAAATGTTCTAGCCATATCTTTCTGGAACGAGGTTAAGTTCTTGATCTGAAAACTCAACGTCTAATGTGACGGATATCTTACCTGGAACATGTCCACAATTTCAACATAGGGAGGGCTCTTAGTGGATCCGTACTCGCTAGAATAAAGCAGAGGACGAGAATCGCGGCTGACCACTCGGATCTGCATTGGTGTCTCCACCACTCGTTCACACCTGTAATTGCCAACGGACTAATTTCAGGAGAATCGTCAAGAATGAAAAGACGCCAAGTGGACCCTAGCCCATAATGGCCGTTTGGGTTGAGATTTTACCTTCATATACTCCTTTGAACCCTTATTTTGGAGTTGTTTTCCATGTACACTAATTTATTATAGGGCCATAAGGACTTCTCCATGCACCAAAATGCAATTGGAGCAGCGCTAAAAGAGGTGTAAGGTTCACATGCTTACTCGTATCGGGTACGGTACCATTACTCTGATTGGCTGAAAGAACGCAAAGAGCTCCAAATCAGTTTCTTTTGGATTTCTTATCTTTCAAGTTCCGTTTGCTGCTCTCAAAGAGAAAATGCTAGTGGCGGACTCATTCCTCGGCTTCTTTACAGTACTCTAAATCTTTGAAAAACTCAATTTCCGGACATATCGCCTTACACAACCGATCGCCATAATTATGAGCAAATGCAAATAGCAACAGCGAAACTATTCAGTGAACCACTACGCTCGCTTCTGATTCCGAAGTGAAATTGAAATTCGAAGGTGGTCAGTGTCTTTTAGATATGATAGTCATTTCACTACCGATTTCCCCTCATTTGGGGAATACCGTTGAATGCCACTTCTGAATGAAATATAACTAGAAAACAGCAAAAGTGGATCCGGATGTGATCCTTGCTGAATGAATCATCTACAATGAAAGATGACTCCACTGATAGCGGCCTTCTGTATGCTCTTTTTTGCCAACGGCTCTCAATTTCATCACCTTATAACTAGTTGGGAACAAAATTCACTTTCCTTACAGCACACAAAACCTATATCTTTGGAAATACTATGATGCAGTAGCAGTCTGAATCTCAGAGGCCATGGAACAGGTTCATTGGAAGGAAAAAACCCTTCCCTTTTTTAAATGTATTTGAAATCATCAGGGTTATTAGATTAACAATTGACCACGGTCGATGTCGAGTCTCCGAGCAGCCATATTTTTGAATCAATTCAATCCATCATCGAGAACAGGTTTTGGTGTGAACTTTGCTCATGAAAAGATCGAGAGCAGCAAAAATCAAACTGCCAAAGATGGCCAATCTATCCATGCATTTGAAGGCACGTCCGGGCTCAGTCTTGCTAGGTCTCGCTCTCGTGATAAAAATGTGGGAGAACCGCAACTGTAGGTAGTGCCCACTTCAAAACTACATCGAAACGCCGCCACTCGACGCTAAGGCGCTAAAGATTTCGCTTCAATCCGCCAGAACTATCAAGCCGCCATGTTGTGTCTTGTCTGCGTCGGCATTGTTGATCCGCCGTGCCTTCTCCACTCGTACTTCTCTACCCCTCTCCGCTACTTACATTATCTCTCATGTCCCTGCCTGCTTCTTAGCTCTCCGCGGTATAGAGCAGAAAGGCCTGTTTTTCCAGTATACCACATTATTTGAAATAAGACGTTGACCAAAGCGTCGTAGGTTATTGAGAGCGGATTTGAAACAAGGGCTACCGAAGGATATGAAGGTAGATCCTGTTTAAGCCGGACCGTTGCAATATGCGAATTTCTCGCAGCTTGCTCACCTTCCGGTCGCTACCGATCTGCTTTCGCCTGGACGACAACCGCAGTACGATCCGCTGATGCACACTTCTCCCATAGCGATCTTACAGAACTCACGACCACAAGGCAGACCGTCATTGAGTGGATGCGTCTGCACAGGTGTGTGCGTGGCCTGCTCGATTTTCTGGTCCACCTAAAACGGACCATTGACACTCTTCACGCCTGGTGACGACATACAAATAGCTGCAATAGCCTGCAAAACCTTCAAAAAACCTAACCTGGAACTCTAGGCAGACACGTCCTGGCTCTTGAGGATTTGGTGATTGGTCGTAGTATCCTTCACGGCAGCTGCAGATGTAGCCATCGTCCATATCTTCGCATTCAGCATTACGATTCTGCAGTTATCAGACTGCTAATCGAGACATTATTCATGACGCCTGCAGACTCGACCAGAGTTTTCCTCAAAAGATTTGTTCCGAGGTAAAATGCTTACGGGTGTTCTTAATAACGCGTGATAGGACTTTCATCCCGATATGGTGGCTTGCATTTGCAATCGTAGCCTCCTTCTCGATCGATGCACATGGCGTTGCGATCACAGTCGTTGAGATTCGGTGAGTCACACTCGTTGATGACTGAAGCGAATCAATCTAGAATCCCACAGGGTGTGTTACAGGTGCGGTAGAACTCACTGTAGGTGCACTGAGTTCCAGGATGAGCGCGATCGTTGTCGAAGTAGCCCTGACGGCATCGGCACTCGTACCCGTTTCTCTTTGTCGATACATTCTGCAAATCGGGAGCACGTATTGAGCGACGGATTCCGACATTCATTGATTTGCCTCGTGCCTGAAAAGGAAATTGACCAAATCTTGAAGGGAGCAAGGAGCCTTGGGAGACTCACAAAGACGACCAGGACGGTTACGGTCTGGCGACTTGTCGATCGTATTCACTGGACAACGACATGTGTAGCCTTCTCTCTTGTCTTCACAGATGGCCAACGAGTGGCAGTCGTTCAGAGATCGATCGAGGCATTCATTCACCTAAGAATAGGTCAGGTCAAACTCGAGAGGAGCATTGAGCAGTTATTTCGTCCTTCATGTGTGGGCAATTTTTTGGGTATCAACCTTGAACTTCAGAAAGTGAACCGACCATTTCAACGCAGATTCGGCCTGGACGTGTGTTCCGATTTGGTGACTGATCGATGTACCCATCACGACATTGACAGGTGTATTTTTCGGGACCTGACACTTCGCTACAGATCGCGGCCGTATGGCAGTCGTTTTGGCTGTAAGATGGTTTGAATAGAAATCTATTACGTGGGAAAAAAGTTCTGAACCACCTCATAGCTCAATGTCGAAATTTGTTTTACTATTCTTTATTTATTCATGGATCCTTTGTATGTCACGGTTCTATTCCATAATAATACGCCAACGTAAAGGCAAAGGGCAAGGGTAGGGCTCAGTTCCACTGTAGAAGGCATTCCCATGGATCGAGGATCTAGGTCCGCCACCGCGGTGGTAGCGCCACTTCCACCCAGGGTCAGTCCTATCGTTGTTACTTTTTCAAAAATTTTTACGACCCCCCTCCCCCAAGGTGGATTTGGATACGACCCCCTTTTCGACCTCGACCACCATATTCCTCTCTATAGTATTTAATTCTGTACCACTCAACCCACCAAACTCCGCCCACTTTTTCCTCCAAAAATGCCGTCGAGCGGGGGGTATATAGCTACTCCGAAACGGCGTAAAAAAATTTTTTTTTTCGAGAATCTCTTCGCTATAATTTTCCCTCCTCTGTTCCCCATTTGCACCCTCTTCTCACCCAATTTTACCTCATCTTCCTACAACCTTCATTTTCTATGAGAGGGGGGGGGGGCCGGCGGGCGGGGAGGGGGGGGGGGTATATACGCGCGCTGAAACGGCGAATTTTTCTCCCATGCGCTCCCAACTCACCTAGCCTACTACTCGTGAAAACTCCACTTTCACCACAAACTCACATGTACTTTCACGCGACTGAAGCGGATACGACCCCCCCTCCTATAAACTCAACCAGGTACGACCCCCCGTTGTTACTAGTAACAACGTAGGATTGACCCTGGCTTCCACCCTTTCAACAGTCATTAAGACGCTACCCGCTTGCAACTTGGATCTTCTGGGCGTCAAAATCAGTCTATTACGACACACACGCCATTGCATCGGGAGAGCTATTTCTCAGAGCTTCGCTTTCAATCTAATCAGATAAAATGACTTCAATGGTATTGAGGACTTCGAATTATCCTTCTCATGGACAACAAATATCTGCCACGTCCTGTTACAGGATGAGAAAATCCTATTGTTATACATATTGTCATACCTTTTATCGAGACAGACGGGTTCCGTGAGAATGCAAAGGCGTCCCGGTTTATTCCGATCAGGGGATTTATCAACGTATCCTTGAAGGCATTCGCAAGTGTACGACTGCCCTCCAGTCGCTCTACAGGAGCCAGCTGCATGGCAATCGTTGAGATTTGGATCTTGACAAGGATGACCTAAAAGAGAACTTCACTTAAGACAGGAACAGATGAACCCCAATAACTGGAATAAAACAACTGACGAGGTGGAGGCGTCGGTGGTGGCGGAGGTTCACAGACTCGTCCACGCAGAGCTGGGTCGGGAGATCGGTCGATGAACCCTCGGATGCATTCACAACGATAGCCCCTGGCCTCATCGTAGCAAATTGCATTCCGTGAGCACGTGTTCAGCTTGGGATCTCGGCATGCGTTGTCTGAAAATCCCAGAATTTAGCGCTAAGGGTGGAGTGAAACTGATGTGCACTCACTTCTCACACAGATACGTCCCTTCTGTCCGTTCGGTGACTGATCAACATATCCCTGAATACAGGAGCACTGGTATTTGTTGCCTCCCAGTGGCTCACAGACAGCTGCTGAGCTACAGTCGTGGTTTGATGGGCAAACTTCTGAAAAGCTTCTTTATGGAAAAGAAAACTACTGACACTTTGAACTGATTATTAGTGACAAACCTGGAGCACTGCACACGCGTCCGGGTTGACTAGCCAGATTGGGTGAACGGTCTACGTATCCCTCGCGGCACTCGCAGGTGTATCCTTCCTCCAGGTCACGACAATCCGCTTGGGCGCTGCAGGTGTGGCGTCCGGTTGAGCACTCGTCCACCTGACACATCGAAGGATCTTTGGCGATCTCTTATAAAAAGATCTTGAACTCACCAGCTTGACACAAACTCGTCCAGGGCGATGTAGTTTGTTGGGAGATCTGTCAACGAAGCCTGTGGGGCATTCGCATGAGAACGACTGCTCGTTGTCGTGGCAGATGGCCGACTGATCGCAGTCGTGCTTACCAGTCTCGCATTCGTTCTCAACTGGAAATTTACTCATTGAATGTTTTTAAGGGTACCTGACAGGAGGCCCGTCAAGAAGGCAGAGACGCGACCGGGTCAGGGGACGAGTCGCAGCGCGTACAGTGTGATGTGAGGCGTGCTAGTATAGCTTACTTACCATGACGCGAAATCACTACAGTACGCGCTGCGACTCGTCTGCTGACTCTGCATTCTTGCCGCGCGACGGGCCTCCTGTCGGGTACC